TAAAAAAAGTTATTTTAGTAAACAAATAGGAGTTAAACAGTGACATGTCCACTGGTCCAAGCAGCCTGCATCAGAGCGTCTTTAAAAAGAAGTAACTGCAGGCATAGTGGATGCATTGGTTTCAGTCTTCTAAACTTCCCTAAATTCCCTAAAGATCCCAGTGAATTGGAAAGCTCTGCCCTTTAATGCCATTGTTCAAGAAAGGGTTGAGGCAGAAACTTCGGTCAATAAGCCTACTATCCGTTGCTGGGAAAACAGTGGAATCTATTATTAAAGTAGCAGCAGAATCTTTTTTGTGATATTTATAATGCAGTCAGACAGAAAGGGCAATTGGATTTTACAAAGTTATTCCTTGAAAATGTAACAAACGGGGTGGATAGAGGGGAGCTAAGTAGATGTGGCATGTTTGGATTTCCAAAAAGACGTTTGATATGGTGCGATGTAAAAGCTTACTACACAAGTTAATGGTGGGAGTGATAAATTGGCAGGAATAGGGGACTTGAGCGTCTGGATAAACGGGTTATTTTCAAGTAGGCAAATTGTGACTGTGTCTCAATGAACAGTGTTGTCTCAACTACTTACAATCTCTAAAAGCTTGGGTGAAGAGACTGAGAGTGGACTGTAGCAAGGTTTGTTGACGCTATCTCAAAGTTACGCTATAAAGTGAATTCTGAAGAGGATGTTTAAATGAAGAGCAATTACAGAAAACTGTCTAGGCATCCTCATGTAAGAAGCAAAAAAAGTTGACATTCAAGAATATCAAGTAATTAAGAAGGCGAATGCAATATTAGCTTTGTTTTGAAAGGAGAAGAGATTATACAAGTCAGGGAGTCATGCTATATCTGTACAGGATAGTGATAGCATTACCTGTAGTATTAGATGTATTTTTGATCTCCATTTAAGGAGGGATATACTTGCATTGGAGCAATTCAGTGAAAGTTCACTCAGTTGATTTAGGTAATGAGGCGTCTGTCTCATAAGGAAATAATGCAGGTTGTGCCTATACTCTCTGGAGTTTAGACATATTCTTCCTGAAATGTAGGATCCAGGGGGGCTTGAAAGGGCTGAAGATATTTCTTATGGGAATACCTAGAGCAAGGGGACATAGTTGCTGAATAAGGGATCATTCATTTAAACAGAAATGAAAAGGAATTTCTCCTTTGGGATAATTATTAATTTGTTGATTCTCTGCCTGAGGGAGTTGTGGCAACTGGATTATTGAATATATTCAAAGTTGAGTTGAACAGATATTTGAACCATAAAACAAAGGTTATAGGGCCAGACAGGAAAGTGGAGTTTGAATCCAAGATCACATCAGGCATGAACGCATTGAATGGTGGAGTAGGCTAGAGGGATTGCACAGACAACACCTGCCCATATTATATTACTAGATAAATATTTAATGCATGCTGTTAAATGGCTCCCTTTGATCTGTTTGTCATAATATGTAACAAACTACTTGAGTTCACTAAACAACGATAGACACTGTTGAAATTTTTTTGTTCTTGGCACCATTATAAACCAATTCCTGTCAAATCAGAATACTATGTCCTGATTACCCAATTTCAAAATATGCAATTGATTACTCAAACTTTCAAAAAGGGATTTAATTATAAATGTAAAAAGTACAGACACTGACAACCATTATAACAACAGTATACACTCAAACTTAAAGCGGTTTACCAAACGTCTTCCTCCATAACCCCATTTGGTGGATTTAACATTGTCGGGACCTCCAAGGCACAGTTATGAGAATGGGATATGCAGTCTTCAGTTTTTAAGCTGATAATGACATTTATATAAGACTTATTCACACACTTGTTCTCTCCCAGTCACTAACTCGCAATGAATAATACACTATCACACCCACTCACTCATTCACTCACACTCTAACTCTATCTCTCACCGCAGGGAAAAGGAACCATTTGCGGTCAGGCTGCCTTGGGAGTGGACCTTGGGCATTGAGGGCAGGGAAAGGAGCCATTTGCAGCCAGGTTGCATTGGGGTACGGAGTTGGGCATCCAGGGTGGGTGGACAGAGCCATTTGCTGCCAGAGAGAAGACAGCCTTGCTGGAAGGATGGCTAGGCATCATCTTCAACTACTTCAAACTGACCATGTGAAGCTGGCTGCAACAATCTCTGAAATTGTTCAGGGCACAAGGCAGACAATTTGTGGCTCAAACTAACAAAAATCATTGTCACATTGACATTAGCCTGTTACTGGGTTAGTCTGCACCAGATTAGTTGCTTTGGATACTGATTGTCTCAATTGACATCTGACTGTTGAGCCTGAACTGAGCAATTAGCATTTCAGCCAATGCTGTCCTGGGGCCTGCTGCACCTTACTGTTGCCATTAAAGGTTTGGGACTCAAATCCCCAAATTTAGTGAGCCAATCCCACTGAGGACCATGACTCTCTCTTTGCAAGCCATTCCTTAAAATATTGAAATGTTTTCAATGCTTACACTTTTGGCAATCATTATACCATTTTAAAAATTGAAGGTGGACAGCTCTGAATTGTACCAATCTACTTGGCTCACTCCATTGATTGCTGAGCTTCACCAATTCATTATTGTTTGTTTATTTGACCATATTGACCAGCCTCAGCAATATTTTGGAATGGAACTACTTCTTCAGTTAAAATCAACAATGTAAGTGTTTGTTGTAATTAAAGTTGAGGGTTTGAGGATTGCAGTTCCCATTTCCTCCCTCTGTCAGCTGGATTGTAATGAGTGCAATCTGTCATACCAGCTAGGGCAATTAAGTATATTTTTAAAGTATATTGTATGACACGTCCAACACTTAAGTATCTAAATCGCCTTATGGTGTTTATTTCCCAGCCACATTTTTGGAAACATTACAAAATGTAATTAAGAGTACACAGGTACAGGAATTCACAACACGACATCATCTTTTTAATTAAGATGTTTTTGAATATACTCTGTGCTCCAAATATTCTTTGACATAAGACACATGCCAAAAGAAGGATCAACTAAGTTTGGTAGCAGGGCAATTCGAGGCTTGGAGATGTTGCAAGCTCAAAATATTTGTTTTAAAAAATCTATCAAACGGTGGTAAACGGAGTTTAATTTTGAATTGTGGAAGCAGTTTTACTATACCTAGTTCTAAAACCTAGCTGTCTTGTCTAGCTTTTCTACTATATATGGAGTCAGCAAGGGTTAAGCTTACACAACTCCTGTGATATCTTAAAGTCGGAAATACAAAAAAATTCAACAACATCTGAAAAGTTATGTGGTTTTGGCTGTAGATTTGACCTGCTATTCTAATTATGAATTGTGCCAAGTGACATTGGTTTTCCAATTTCCCTTGATTTTCACTGTACACTTCATACTTTCCATGCATTTCACTTACCAGCTAACCTGGTCTGCAATTTTCTGTAAAGAGTTGTTTCGTAGAATCTGTAATTCCCAGAATCAGTCATTAGGTCGATTCAAGATAGAGACATTCCTGGATATTAAAAACATCAAGGAATATGGGAATAATGCAGAAAAATGGCTTTGATGTATAGGCTCATGACCACATCCTGCTCCTATTTCTTATTGTTCTTCAAAATATTATCTATAATACAATAATATACATCTTCCTGTGTACAAGTAAAATGAGGCATGAAATGCATGGGGTTAAAGGAACTTCCAGTCAATAGAGAGCAGAAGATCTTTGTTATCCTGTACCATTTAAAACCGATGCAGTAGTTGTTCAAATACACTTGCATTTGGAAGGAAGGGCAGAGAATAAAATGGCTAGAGAAAAACCCCAGAGCATGATCTAAATTTATAGGTATTCCAGTTGAAGAATCGCAGTGGGTATGTAGTATCAGTAGATACTGTAATCACTAAATTAAAAAAAAAATGCAAGATGTTACATTAGACCTTTACAAATCATTGATAAGGTTTCAGCCAGAGTATTGTGCACAATGCTGGGGACCAGACTTTAGAAAGAGCCTAAACAATTGCATAAGAAATTTGTCAAGATGATGCCAGGGATATGGGACTTCAGTTATTTGGCTATTGGTGAGGCTGCGGTTACTTTTCTCAGAGCGGAGAAGGTGACAGGGAAGAACCTAGTCGATGTATTCAAAATTGAGGATTTGATCAAGCTAACAAGAAGAAATTCTTTAGATTTTTTTAAAGAAGTGCAGATGCTGCAAGTGAATCAGTGAAGTCATAAATTGGCAAAATAACCTAAAAAAAAAAAATTTTCTTTCCCTACACAGTTTTGTGATTTACACTACTTGAAAGGGTAGTAGAAGCAGATTCCATTCAGAAATTTCTAAAGATATTTGGGCATGTACTTGATTAATTGGCAAACTTGTGGGAAAAACCTGCAGTGTAGGACAAAATTGGACAGCTGTTCCAAAGAGGTCGCACAGCATTACTGACTAAATGTGCTCCTGTGCTTTAAAATGTCATAAATCACACAACTGGAGTCCCTAATTATACGGTACGGTACTCTCGGATTTCTTCCTGCTATCCAAATTCTAGAGCTCCATCCAGTGGCAGAAAATTCTTACAGCAGCAGTAGCAGCTGTTTGGTTTCATTTTTGTACGTTGTACACTTTTCTACATTGTATAAATGGTGTATATCTACAGACTTCAAAGCTATCTGTATAACTATGGCATTTTCCATCTGAATTTCTGCTGCTCCACTATGTTAATGATAATGTGCTATTATTTTGCTTTCCTAACCTGTTATCCAACTTATTTTGTAGCTTCTGATCTACTACTAAATCACTGACCTTTCTTTGGCAGCTACTTGAGCTTGGATAAGAGATGTTAGAAAAAGAGAGGGGGATTTTATGGTGACTGAGAGGGGTGAAAAACAAAATTGAGCTGATTCTACTGTAACAAATGACAATGATGCATCTTTCAATATTGTGTTATACATTATAAAATCAAATGATCAGAGCTGATTATGCAAAGGACGCAATTTGCATTAATAAAATTTGCTTCTCCAATCTCACATTTTCTTATTTCTTGCAGCTTTTCAGGGAAGTAAGAATAATGAAATGTTTGAACCATCCAAATATAGGTAAGTAAACTTTCCATATTTTTGAAGACTAAATTAGGCATTGAAAAAGTTTCTCCTGTTGAAACATTTTTACTTAAAGTAATGAGAGAACCTGCTTTGCCTTAAGTTTGGACTAAAACTCCATACTAGCTCATTAGGGGTAGTGTATTGTGGTGGTAGACTTGCACAAATACCTTCTGGCCTAAGACAGATTTGTTGATGAGGCATCCAACTGCTCAACAAGAATTTGATTTCACCAATGATTCCCCTGTTTGATTCTAGTAAGGAATTTGGTCATTAAACACAGAAAAGCACTGAACAGGGTCCCTGATGCATATATCTTCTAATAGTACTGTAATCAGTATAAACTCTTCCTTCTTTTGAAGTTTTCTTGGAATGTAAATTGATGAAGTAGGCCTTGTGTCCATCAAGAGCAATACCTTCATAATTCAGAGCCCCATATCCTATCTTGCACTAAATCCAACTCATCCATAGGTCCCAGCCTCGCTATTCAGTGTTGTTTTCCTGACCTACAACATTGACTGAAAAATCCTTGTCACCTTAAACCCCTTTAATAAAATCACAGCTGGATGTTCTGGAAAAAAGTGTTAATCATTTGTTAACTTGCAAATCAGCTGGCAAATTCATGGAATTAAGAGATGTTATGAGTTAGACGACTTAGAATTTATTGGTTGTACCTTGCTCCACTATTTGTTTTGCACTGCTGGAATCTTGCCCTTAGCTTCCTCGTTATTTTAAAACTTTGCTGCAGTTGAATGTTTATTGTCCATGCAAGTTGCCACAGAAAGTTAGCTTGGGTAAGTAACAGTAATAGTACCTTTTTAACAATGTGATGGTAATACACTGCCAATTAATTTACCTGACCTAGAAATTAAGCAATTTAAGTGGCTGAACCTCCTTTCTTATGATAAATTATCCTAAGAGAATTTTAAAAGACAAATGTTAAATTTTAATTTGGTTCCTTTTTTTGGTGTGGCTTTATTCTCTATCTTAGTTCAAATTTTCTTAGCCTCATTTCTCTTTCTGTACTTGATTAGACTAACTAATTGTCCCCAGCTTTTCCTGTCTTTTTGTCAATTTTCAGATCTCATTGATTTAAGGAGTTACACTGCTGATCTTGCTGTTGGCTTTGATCCCTTCTGCGTTGTTGTCTCTGCTGAGCCACTACCAGCTTGCAATTCCAGCAATTTACAGTGCAAACTTTTTTTTGAAGTGAAAAATGCAAAAGAAAACTAACTAATAGAGCTTGCCACAAGATGCCGAGCTGCAGCAACGCCCTTGTTTGTAATCCACACCAACATTGTATCTCTTCCCACACCCTGAAGTCCACTGACTTTGGCCTTCTGTCCATGTATTTCTCCCCACTGAGCTACCAATGTTAACAGACTTTAGCCATCTTGACCTTAATTTTTGGAGCCACTTCCTTAAGCTCGTGCTTCTGTTCTTTCCTTCAACTTTAAAACATTGTTTTAAAACTTACTTTCCAACATACATAAAACATTTGGTACTGTGCCACATGGCAGGTTGGTTGGCAAATTAGGAATGTTTCGGACTGATGGGTACTTTGTAGCATGGATTAGAAGTTAACTAAAAGATAGGAATCAGAGGATAGGTATAGATGGGCATGTCTCAGATTGGTGATGAGTTGAAAGTAACGTTCCACTGGGATTGGTGTTAGGACCCTTACTTTATCTGATTTTTTTTTATAAACGATTTGGAGATGGGTGTTGAGGACAAACTTCTAAATTAGCGGATGATATCAAGCTAGGGAGAATAGTGAATTGTGAGGATGGTGAGTGATTTCAGAGATATTGACAAGTTGCCAAATGGATGGACAGACACCTAGCAAATGAATTTCAATGCAGCAAAATGTGAGGTAATGCATTTTGGTAGAAGTAACATGGAGAGACATTACAGGATCAATGGTACAACTTTTGAGAGAGGAGGGACCTTGGGGGTTCACATGCATGATTCTCTGAAGGTGATAGGCAAGTTGAAACATTTATTAAGAAGGCTTATAGGATCTTTGGGTTTATAATTAGAGGCATAAGTATTAAAAACAAGGAAGTGATGCTCCACCTCTACAGATCATTGGTCAGACCACATTTGGAGTGGTGTTCAGTTCTGAGCACCTGACGTGGAAAAAGTTCAAAGCAGATTTACTGGAATGATACCAGGAATGAAGGATTTTAGATACAAGTAATTTTCACCACACCCCTTTTAGCTCAGCTCCTTTGTCTATGTTTGGAAAAAGGTCAAGAACTGAGTGGTCCTGGCAGAATCCAAACTGAATGCAGTTAGCAGCATATTGCCGTGTGATAGCTCTGTCAATGGCCCTGTCCCTCACTTTGCTTGTGGTGGAGAGACTGAGAGCCACAATTGTCTGGGTTGAATTTCTCCTGCTTTTTGTGGACAAGGCATACCTGGACAATTTTCCGCTTGCCGGTTAGATACCAACAGCTGTGCTGTTGAAATTGTACGACATTGGAGTGGATAGTGGGGAACCAGAAGATGTGTTGTATTTAGACTTCCAGAAGGTATTTGACAAAGTGCCTCACAAAAGGTTAAATCGAAAGATAAGAGCCTATGGTGTTGGATGAAGTATATTGGCATGGAGAATTGACTGATGGGCACGAAACAGTGAATGGGGATTGGAGTTCTTTTACAGGCTGGCAACCTGTGACCAGTAGGTTCCACAGGGATTAGTGCTGGGACTGCAACGGTTCACAATATATAATTAATGATTTGGAGGAAGAAAATGAATGTATGGGAAGGTAGGTTACAAGAGGGTTATAAACAGTTTGTAGAGAGATATTGATTGTGGTCAAAAAGCTGACAAATGGACTAAGCAGGTCCTGTAGATCTTTTTAGTGAAATGTTTGGGAATGGGTTTCTGGGCAGTTAAGGCACTGAATTAATGCAAGTCATAATTTTAAACTAAATATAAAGATCCAGAGAATATTTTTGATCTTCTAACTGCCTTATACATATGTTCAAGACTGAGATTTTTAATCTGTGAAGGAATCGGGGTTATGGAGATAAAGCAGGAAAGTGGTGTTGAGAATGATCAAATCAGCCATAATCTCATGGAATGGTATAGCAGACCTGAGGGGCTGAGTGACCCACTACTACTACTACTATGTCTTGTGTTCTTATGATGTTACAGGTAACCTGTTGATTGGGGGTTAAATATTGGTCTGGACCACTGTTGACTTCCCCCTGGTCACCTTCAAAATAATGGCATAGGAATTTTTACTGTCACCTGAGAGCAGATAGGGCCTTAGTAAAGTCTCATCCAAAGACGGCACCTTCAGCAACCAGAACTGCACAAATGGGCTATCCGGAATGTTCATAATGGGATTTTCTGATGTGAATCCACAATAATACGATCCACTGAGGGCACAATGTACGTAAGAACTATGAGCAGGAGTAGGCCATCTGGCCCCTCGAGCCTGCCCTGCCATTTAATAAGATCATGGCTGATCTTTGAGACTCGGCTCCACTTACCCGCCCACTCACCGTAACCCTTAATTCCTTTACTGTTCAAAAATTTATCTAGCCTTGCCTTAAAAACATTCAGTGAGGTAGCTTCAACCACTTCACTGGGCAGGGAATTCCATAGATTCACAACCCTTTGGGTGAAGAAGTTCCTCCTGACCTCAGGCCTGCATCTGCTTCCCTTTATTTTGAGGCGATGCCCCCTAGTCCTAGTTTTACCTGCTAGCAGAAACAACCTCCCTGCCTCCACTTTATCTATTCCCTTCATAATCTTATGTTTCTATAAGATCTCCCCTCCTTCTGAATTCCAATGAGTATAAGCCCAGTCTACTTGGTCTCTCCTCATAATCCAACCCTCTCAACTCTGGAATCAACCGAGTGAATCTCCTCTGCACCCCCTCCAGTGCTAGTATATCTCTTCTCGGGTAAGGAGACCAAAACTGCGCACAGTACTCCAGGTGTGGCCTCACCAGGACCCTGTACAGCTGCAGCATAGCCTCCTTGTTTTTGAACTCCATCCCTCTAGCAATGACAGACAAAATTTCATTTGTCTTTTTAATCACCTGCTGCACCTACAATCCCACCTTCAGTGATTCATGCACAAGGACACCCAAGTCCCTCTGCACAGCAGCGTGCTGCAATTTTTTACCATTTAAAACAGTCCATTTTGCTGTTATTCCTACCGAAATGGATGACCTCACACTTATCAACATTGTACTTCATCTGCCAGACCTTTGCCCACTCAATTAGACTATCTATATCCCTCTGCACTCTTTGCTCTACCACTCACCTTAGTGTCCTCTGCAAATTTTGACACCACACTTAGTCCCCAACTCCAAATCATCTATGTAAATTGTAAACAATTGCGGTCCCAACACTGATTCTTGAGGCACACCACTAGCCACTGACCGCCAACCAGAAAAACACCCATTTACCCCTACTGTTTGCTTTCTACTGGTCAACCAATCCTCTCTCCATGCCAATACGTTACCTGTAATACTGTGCAACTTTATCTTATGTAGCAGCCTTTGGTGTGGCACCTTGTCAAATGCCTTCTGGAAATCCAGATACACCACATCCACAGGTTCCCCATTGTCCATCATGCAAGTAATGTCCTCAAAGAATTCCACCAAATTAGTTAAACATGACCTACCCTTCATGAACCCATGCTGGGTGTTTCCAATGGGACAATTTATATCCAGATGTCTTGCTATTTCTTCCTTAATGATAGGTTCAAGCATTTTCCCCACTACCGAAGTTAAGCTAACTGGCCTATAGTTACCTGCTTTTTGTCTACTTCCTTTTTTAAACAGTGGCGTCACATTGGCTGTTTTCCAATCTGCGGGAACCACCCCAGAGTCCAGTGAATTTTGGTAAATAATTACTAGTGCATTTGCTATTTTCCCCCATCACCTCTTTTAGTACCCTGGGATGCATTTCATCAGGGCCAGGAGACTTGTCTACCTTTAGCCCCATTAGCTTGCCCCGTACTGCCTCCTTTA